TTCTCAGGGCCCAGAACAAAGGCATTACTGATTGGGCCAACTGTCAGAGCCCAGCTGCCCACAACTCATCACCTCTTTGTTAAAACCAACATTTGCACCTTCTTTCTTTTTAAAGAAAATGGTTTTACTTTAATATAATGCTGTTATCTTAAGACTTCATTGAGTGCTGGAGTTTGCATTTGCAGGAGCCAAGTTGTTTTGGGTAGTTAGGGATTTTTGCCTCCGTCTCAGACAGGCTGGTGGCAAGCCACTCTTGGCTATTAGCAGACAAGGCACTTCGTAAGGGAGGGAAGGAGAGGATTCAGGAAAACGAGCCAGAGTTAGAGTAACTGGCATCTTGTCCCTGCAGCTTTGAGTTGCTGGAAAAGAGCAAAAGCAATAGACTGGAAGAGTTGTTTTCCCAGCGGATGCTCACAAGATTGTGGCTACGTGTTTCCACCAAAACCTTCACTACATGTGCCTTTCAGGAACAAGTCATTTCTTGCTACCAGTTTGGTGCTGCTTTTAGGAAGCTGTCCCTGTTCTGGTATTTTGTTTTGTTTTCCTCCATCCATTTTCCTTCCCTTCTCAGTCCCAACTTGTCAGGCTGGCCTCTCTTAAAGAGGGTGTAAGTTATTTTGAAATTCCAAAGGATGTTTTATTGAAAGGTTGTCTACCAAGAAATTAGCTGGTAGAGTCCTACTGAAAAACAGCAAAGGCTTTGATCATTGGCTTCCTAAAAGGCACTGGTTTAAAATATGAGTTAGAACAGTCCCCTGTCGTGGTGATTAATACTTTCAAGGAAGGACACACAGTACTACTCTACAGTGGTAACAATGAGATTGTCTTGGTAAAAGGACCCATGGCCTTTGCTGTCATACAGCAGCCCACTAGGACACTTGTTTAAATGGTGAACACAGATGAAGTGATGACTGGTCATTTATCTGGAAGTATTCCTTGAGTATCAGGGCTAAAAAGATTAACGCAGATCAGGATGTTTTACTTTTTGACAAGGCTAAAGAAGCAGGTGCAGGAGTCAGTTTTCTTTGAAGAGGCAAGCAGTGACCCTGGAGTAGAGAAGGGCCACCTGGTGCTACTGTGTAAGGGTGAATTAATTGCGTGATTGTCCACGGTGACTGATGCCACAAGAATGATCCAACCAAGGTATCCCATTCTGGGGAAATGCAGGCCTGTTTTGAGTCTGTTAAGAATATATTTAAAGATCTAACAGCTTTAACTCTGATGCAAGACTCCCCCCACCCCACCCCCAAATCCATGAAGAATCATTCTCGTACCTGTAGAAACACAAACAGCTGCCCTTTGGAGAGATGAGGGTCAAGAGGATGTTTAACACAGTCCAAGACGGGCAGGGGGCACCTGTCTGGGAGGTGTGAGCCTCTCATGCTGCACCTGTGAAAGACGTGTTTTACGCTCAAGTCCTTAAGCTTGTTAGTTTTTAAGAGACTATTACAAAATAAGGGGGAAGGGTGACAGAAAGGAAATCTTAAATCCATTAAAAATGGACCAGCAGTAGTAAGGAAACTTCTTTCAAGACTGTATTCTTCTCCATATCCCTGCTGTTGTGGCCAGGGGTCACCAGCATCCCTTCTCAGATTGGATTCCTGTGCTATTCCGAGTG